AGAAAAGAAAAGTGTTATCCAGAAACTTGAGACTTACAGATGAAAGCTATCCATAGTAAAACATGTACTACTTATTTTTCAAACCTTATAGTACGTTTGCTATAGAAGTTCTGGCGGGGTGGATGAAAATTATTTTTCTTAAATTACTAGTAAGAAAAGTTTACACGGCAGTCTGTCTTCGTATGTGTGTCCTCCTGAAATGTTTCTTGGATAATTTAAGAAAAAATAATTCTTTTTACATGTAATTTACCTAAGCGAAAACTGTCGACTATAGTGCCATAACTGTATCAACAAATCGGAATTATGCATTTTTCATTAAATTACATTAATTGTACATGCTGATTTTTTGTTATTCTAATTCGTTTTTTTTAAATATTTCTTTATTAAAAACAAATTTTTATTCGCTATTAGCACTTTACAAATACCGTTAATATAATCGGGGAAAACATTTTGGTGAAATAATTTTTTATGCACTTTTTCACTCTTAATGATCACTAGCACTTGCTATATACCTTTATACAATAAAATACTTTTAAGATGATAAATGGAAGCAGCATTGACGAAAAATACATAAACTTTATAAACGACAATAATATGTGAAGGTAATGGATAAAAATCAAGCTCAAAAGTTCAAATAAACAATACAAATTTTAAGAAAAGCCAACGAAAAATTTGACCTTGTTTCAGACAGGAAGAATTATTCATTTTTCAATAAAAATGAAATGTACACCTTCAAACTTCTTTGAAACTCAAGAGTAAGCTCCGAGTACATCATTTAACCGAGGCAGGCTATTGAAAGATAAATTGATATAACAGGGTTTAAAAAAATCTCGTCTATAGTCACATTTAGTAAATTCTACTCGTAATGCTCGTTACAATGTTTGGTGACCTAACAACAGTGGATGCTTACTCCACTTTGACACCAAATCCCACATCTGGAGTTTTCGGGGTCAGTGTTTATGCCTTCTTTATACAGATTTGTATTGTTTCAAGTCTTTTTGACATCTATCACTTCTACAAATTCTTATCATTTTCCCGTATATTTATTTTAGACAGGTATATATATCGTTATTTTTGTAGAACTATATGTTGCACTAACGAGGATTGATATTATGGTTGAAATATACTTTATATGCACTTAAACAAAGTACATGTACAACTTTTTTTTTTATAATGAGGTGATTGAGTTCCTAGAACAAAATGAGAAAAGAACATTATTAATTTTGCAAGAAATACTTTGATTTACTTTAGCTTGATCAATGTATATCTCTTCTTCAAGAAAAGTTGAGAAGATATTTTCTTCTTTCATATACGCATATTTCAAGGGAATCCTGACTTTCCTGTTCTTAGCAATATGTAATCATGCGTTTAACTAAGTCGCCCTTTTCTGCACTCTAATCATCTCTCACACAAAAAACAGGTGACAAAAATACAAACATTATTGTGTTACGTTCCGTTTGTATACCTTGTAATATTATCTTATTAACTTGGTTGGTGAATACATTTTTTCCTTGACCACGAACATAAAAAGACAATTAACAAACCTTTGTTATGACATTGCTAAGTAGAAATTCATTATACGTACCTCATCTTCTTTCTTGGTCCTTAATATCTGTTTAATCACTCCACTAAGTTTTGAAAATTTTCGGCCATCATTCAGATAATATAAATTCGAAGGATCTGGTGTTCCAATGTCGACTTTATCTATCTGAATTATTATTTTTATTAAATAATCATAAAGTTTTTTAATGAAATGTTCAGAACGTTGATCTTTGCAAATATACTTTATATTATTAGACACAAAAAATAGGAGGTGACTACATTTTTACTATTTTTGAAGAAAAATAGTTTTAAAAATGTTCAATAAAAATTAATTGTCATTTTGTTTACTTTTATTACTTCAGGGATCTTAATTTACCTTCTCGATTAGTAACATGTTCACTGCATCGATATGTAGGAAGAGGAAAACCAAAAATAGAACTTGTCGCATCTTTGAAACTAAATCGAAAATTTTAAAAGTTTTAGAAATTCAAAACGGACTGAATTCAAATGTTTCCTTGCTATTGTTTAATAATGTTAAAATTAAAATCACTCAGAGTATATGGGTTATGCAGAGTAAAATAGTTAACTTACCTGTGAATATGACTTATTAGAATCGGCTTTGATTGATAATTACTAATCTATCTGGACTGTCCACTTTGACATATAAAAAGTGTGTCGCCAAGCATATTAATGGTCTTCCTTTGAGGAATGTTCCCTTGTGGTCAGACTTAGTATTGATTTCCCCCAAAAAACAGATCACAGTTACCTTTGTCCAAAAAAGCAATAATTACACACGATGGTAGTTTACCATACCTATACTATATTCCATAACTTCATAAAATCCTTACAACCAAAGATACATTCCAGGTTCCAGTAAGTATTCCAGCAAATCTCTTAGATTTACACCGCAAAAATTTGAAGAGCTGTGAATATATTCTTAAAGAGGCGCAGATAAAATGTTCTTTAAGTTATATATAAACTTTTAGAACAATACAAATCACAATATTCTTACAAAATTAACACTATCAAAAGTGCAGTTTTCATACAAATTAAACATTTCTCGTAACAAAATAAAGAAGAGCTTTTTTAAAATCATGGACAACTGTCCTTTCAATTAATATGCATGGAACTCAAATCTGGCCGATTAATAGGAATGCTTTTTTCCTCCCTGGCACCTGATCCTACCAGCATTAATTACAAGGTTATTGTATCCATCATAGAACTTATAAAATGATAACTTTTAACGAGACATACATGAGAAATGATATACACTCAACAAAACTTCTAAGTGTTCACTTTAATAAATGTATTTATTTAAAAACTACTGTATAGAATTGTGATATTTTCAAATTATTACAACAAATGAGTGTTCTCAACAATTATTTAAAGAAAATCAAATATCACTGATGAAAACCAATATATAAAATAACAAAAGTGTACTTTGCAGCACGAGTTTTGTGTAATTAGTATCTTTTTGTGATCATTATCAAATTTTAAAAAATGGTTTTACTAAAGAACATAAAACATTGGCAAAATGACCATTGAGATGGAAGGTAGAGTCGTTGGTATGTTGATATCTGGAAAATCTTTGCAGCACGTTTTACTCACTTTTGTTTTAGTGCTTAATTGTACTTGATATTATTTTTAAAAATTAACAACCAGTATCAAAACCCATTTAAACACATTTTTCTATAGGCTGTGCGTCTTTTTCATCACCAATTTATCACAATTAAAAAGTTTTTGACAAAATTTAACCAAACCGAAAGTGACCTTAATTTTCGTCCTAGGCCAAATTTTCGCGTCACACCATGTTAAAAAAGTGTTAAATTGTTGCGAAACAATCTTAGAAACATGAACACAAACAATTTCAATCGTACGAAAATGATAAGAAATCGTTGCTAGTGACGGTCTATTTTCAGCTCAAGCAGTCTGAATTATCCTTCAAGAGGTCACTTACGTGCTAAATACCCTAGGATATTGACCAAAAGGCCTCTGTGTGATGCTACACTCTCAAATCCAGGATCTGAATCCCATTAAACAAAATTGGGATTTTATAAGAAATGTCCCCCCCCCCTTTTCCACGCAATTTCAATGGTTTGGAAGGATCTAGACAGTAGGTGTGGCAGCAGATGGGTCAATCTCCTATTCAGGGGTTCATGGTATTCAACTGTAATTACAGTCTTGTAGTAATTAGAGCGAATGGTGGTCTTACTCCATAGAGCTTTTTTGTTTGAATTTTCATTTTGAGGGTACTTCGTTTCCTTGACACTTTGCTAAAAATTCTGTCGAGATACTTACATGAAATTTATGCAACATTCAACTTAAATATGCATCATTAATCAGGAATAAATGAAATTATTTATTGTTTGCATTTGTTCTCTTAAACTTCAAAAATGTTAGGTGAACACTTAGAAGTTTGGTTCAGTGTATTTGATAAAATAGAGAAGTCAAAGTGAAATTTGTCTGTTTTTCTTTGATTTATCTATTGATGATGCTTTGTCCTTTTTCTGTCTTTAAAAAAGGACAGGTCACCCTGAATTGCTTTATTGCAGCCTGGAGGACCGGGCTGCTCTATACATATAAGTTTAAGTGGTGGTATATGGGGATTGGGGTGGGAGTCGTTATTTAGAATTAAAGTTTTTCTAAACATTGAAAAGATTGTTAATCAGAATATTCTTTCCGTTCATAAATTACGAGATACATAATATATTTACTTCCATAAAGTGAATCTGTAAAAATATATATGTTTTTCATATTTGATATATAAAGTTGCTTATCATTAACTTTCGAAAAAACGACAGGTCCCTTTTTTTATCGAATTTTACTTCTCTGATAAAAATGTACTCTGCACAGTTCGTGTTTTATATTCCAAGATTGAAAATGAATACATTTTTAAATATAAATAATGCGTGTGTCTAACTTCAATTTATATTTTATGCAGCCAACATTTACTTGAGGAATTGATAAAGTTTAATGGTATCGTTTTTGATTGATTTCAAGTTTTCAAAATATTCGCTACTATCGTCTCCATCAATTAGACGCATGCCTTTTCACTATTTTTGAAGAAACGGTTTGTTGATCAAACTCATTTTCATTGTTTACTTTATATATTTCCCGGGCGACAGTTGATGGTTACATCAATGTTTTCTTGTTGTCTATGATTTAATCCTTTATGTATAAGACTGTGTTTTTAATCTAAATATTATCTTCTTTTAACATCTTCAAAATTTTATCACTTTATGCTTTCATAAATAAAATTTTCATACCACTATCACATGCTAAAAATCTTGTTACAACTAGTTCCAACTGGTTTTCCAGTACTTTTTGACTTATGTTAATTTCCTCACCTGAGTTGTTCTTGACCTTGTCAAGAAGTTCCTCCCAGTCTGGGCTAGCTCTGTCAGTGATGGAAGTTTTGGACAAAACTATGTACATAATTAAGTTCCTTATAAATATGACACCTAAGGTTATCAGTAACAAACACAACCTCAAAAGATGCGGGCGGTTCCTCTACTACTTGTTCTGTGTTGCAGCCTCCTCGTAGATTCTTATACATTTTCACAGATCCACACAGAACTTTTAAAGCAGGTAAAAGCCAATTGATATTGATTATTTTCCTTATGATGATTTTATGTGCAATTTTAACTATTGAAAATAGAAGCGATTTTTAGATGATGTGCTTTTGAAGAGTTGTATTTTTATAGCTTTTTACAATTTGTTCGAATTTGAAAAAAAATAATTTAATAAAAAAAGAGAAACTACAGTTTCTAAAAGTAAATTTGAAAATAAGAAGAATTTTAAAATGGGTTAGAATAATTAGGCATTATTTTGGTATCCACGTACTTAATACAGAAAATATGAAAATGCAAATATGATTTGTGACAAGATTGTGTCCACATATGACATAATAGTGTTCTTTCCACATATCTTTGGAAAAGTGGTTGGCGAAACTCCGGACAAATGTCGTGTCCGGAGTTAAATGTCGCACTGTTTGTACATTGCAAAAAGAATGTGTTTAAAATAATCATTTGATTTTTTTTTACACAGATTGATGCAGAATCCAATATAAGAGAAACCAGAGGTAGATTTTCTTTATTGTTATACACTTAATTCTCGTCTTGTCTTTTTGAGTCATTTAGTATTTCATAATTGAAAACAAAAAGAAAATGTAGGCAAAAAAATCTTAACCTTAACTTTACACGTTTCATAAATGCAGTACATTATTATATTTTATGAAAGCGTACATATATATATTATCATTGAATTTATTTATTTTATGTCCTTAAAGCCTTGAGACAGAAGCGTACATGTATATTATCATTGAATTTATATATTTTTATGTACTTAAAGCCTTGAGACAGAAGCGTATGATCAATGAGGACCCTCCCGAGGAAGGTATTCTAGGACCACTTTTACCCCCAGACCCGGCCACTCGTGTGACAACACCAAAACCAATATCAAACTCCAAACGGAAGGACAAGACCAACAAACAAAGAGGCGGACCCAAAAAGGAAAAGAGGACAAAATCCGGCCAAGGACCAAAGAAATCAGACATGGGTAGAAAAAAAGCGCAAGGGAAAAAGAGGACAAAGAAGAGGAAACAAGTCTAATCCAACAAATTAAACAGCAAGACATCCTAACAAAGCAGGGTGTAATGACAACAGGTACAGTTGGAGTAAACGGTTCTTCTCCTGCGCCTGGTTGATACACATCCTTCTTCGAAAATATGCCAAGTAGACGTATCTGTGCAGTTTATTGACGTACATAGCTGATTTATTCGATATAAGGAATTGAATATCAATAAGAGAAATCCAAATACCTCCATCTCTAGTGTTTGTTACCTTAATTTGTTGCGCTATAGACAATAATTTACATAATATATGTTTTTAATGATTTTTAATGTGTTGTTCTGTGTATAATTTAACAATCATGTAATTTTTCATAAAACTTGTCTAGAAGAAGTCTAATATAAATTTAGGTTTATTAACTTTATATTATGTAAAATTATTCATTTGTATTAAAACAGTGCTCTTACTTTTTAATTACTTTTTATTGTAGTTGTATTATGTAAAATTCACTCTGATTAAAGCAGTGCACGTGCTTACTTTTATTTTGATTACTTTTTCATTTGTTGAAGTGTTTTGCTTTCCTTGTTGGGCTGTTGTTTATTATCTTCTGTAAGATCTTATGAGCATTTTGAACTATTATTTTAATATCTACTTTTCTTCGAATACAATCAATACCATTTTGATTAAAATATTCATATGATATTGCATAAACATATTTTATCTAATGATATTTCAAAATGTTATGCAAAATATTTATAATTAAACCTTATTACTTATACTAAAGTACAAATTATTATATCAAACAAATAAGCAAACCTTATTAAAAAGGCTATGATGACTAACAAATGTTTAAATAAAAACTATTTCTTGCGGAAAATTTAGTAAAGAGATATTTTTTATAACATATCTTTTTTCTGTAAAATTTATTCTACTGGGGATATATACCTTTTGCTAATTGAGGTTTATTCAAGAATTCAATCTCAAATGTTAAAATACCCCCCTCTTCTAAAAATCTCTAAAGATGTACCCCCCCCTTTTTTTAAGGTCAGAGTTACATATATTAACATGATGAAAACATGTAGTTTTCACAATGTGTATTTGTCCATTGTAGTTTGGGTTATGTACATTTCTAAATTTGAATCGCAAAATATCAAATGATTTCCAATCACAAAAAAAATATTAGAAAGAGTCGAAGTGTTTTGGGGTACACAGTAAATATCACATTTTATTTAAATGTTGATGTGATAAGATAAGATAAGATAAGATAAGCTTTATTTAAAGTCAGTATAGTAGTTAAAAAGTAACACAAGCTCTAATGAGCTTTTGACTGACATTTTTAACATAATTATACATAACAGTAAAACAATGAAAACATGCAGCACTATATAAACATAGAATTACTTGCAACAATACACAGTCTAATTTAAAGCATATTGTCAGTTAAAGATACATATAAAAACACACATGTACAGACACATAAACAATATAGCACAGATGCATAGAGAAAGCAACAGATATGCATATATACGTCACACCATTACAGACACGTAAGCAGTACATCGACAGAGACATAAAAAGAACATAACAGGAGGAAACAAAAAAAAAAAAAAAAAAGAAAAGATTGACACACATGCACAGACACACAAACAAAAGGACACAACTTTCCAAGTGGAGCAGGCTGTACACTCACAGTCCTTACCACTCCAAGAGGCAATCATAGATTTAAACTGTAAAAAATTGATTTGACATTTAAAATGTTCAGTTAAGGAGTTCCATAAAACTGGTGCTGCATATCTAAAAGACATTTTGCCATATGATGTAGTTTTCACTTTGGGTATTTCTAAAATGTTTGAATATCTAAAATTGTATGTCACTTTCTTAAAACTCACTAAGTCTGACAGACATCTAGGAGAAAGGTCATGTAAAATCTTAAAACATTCCAGAGCCATGCTACTCATTCTTCTTATCTCTAATGATGGTAATTTTGCCTTATGTAGTAATGACTCATAGCTACTCTCCAAATCTTCATAAATAAAACGTAAAGATCTTTCTTGAATTTTTTCAATTTTCCTGGTATTTTTCTTGGAACAGAAGTGCCATACAAGAGGACAGAAATTAAAATTTGACAAAATAAAACTATAAAATATTGTAATTTTGTTTGCCCGAGTTAATACTGAGCCAATGCGTTTTAAAACGTTTAATTGTTGGGCAGCTTTTTTGCAGATATTACTAAGATGGACATCAAATTTGAGCATAAAATCAATATCAATTCCCAATAATTTGACAGTCTCATTACACAAAATCTCTACACCATCAATTTTAAATACTGGGTTCTTATCAAAAGTTTTCTTACCCAAGGCAATTGCTTGAAATTTAGATGGATTGGCTTGCATACAGTTTTCTTTAAACCATTTCAATAATACAGAAATTTCATCTTGTAAAGTATTTATCAGAGTGTCAAAATCCTTATGCCAGTACGCTAAAGTATTATCATCTGCATAATTATATAAAGACCCATTCTTAATGAAATAAAAAATGTCATTTATAAAAACATTGAAGAGTATCCAAGGATGGAACCTTGTGGTGCTCCCTTTTTAATACCAAACCCGACTACTGACAACTCCCTGAAGTTTCACTTGCTGAAAGCGCTCAGACAAGTAGCTTCCTAGAATGGAGACAGAATTTGGAGATAAACCATATGCAGAAAGTTTACTTAATAATATGTCATGTGGCAAACAATCAAAAGCCTTAGAAAGGTCCATTAAAATAGAAGCAACATGTAAGTTCTGATCTAAAGCCATTTTCCAGTCTTCAAGGAGTCGCAGTAGTGTAGTTTGGCATCCATGACGTTTTCTAAATGCACAAAGTGCATTGTTAAAAATACCATCAAAATAGTCAGAAAGTTGTACACATAAAACCTTCTCAAAAACCTTTGACACAGTTGGTAAAATACTACTAACAGGTCTATAATTACTTTTTAACAGAGGGTCTTCTTTTTTATATAAGGGAATGACCTGATTGTTGCATATTGAGGGCGTATGTTGACTCCCTATAGAAATTAATAAAATTACGGGCTCGTCATGTTCAGAGTCACTTAGAGAATACTTTTGTCTAAGTTAGACAATTTGTAGTTGGACAACTGCGTGAAAAATAAGTAAAAACAGATGCTAAACAGAGGTAACCAATGTCTGGCTCAGATCAAATATTAAACCGATCATTCCCACGAAAGAAATAACATTATTTTGATGGCGCAGGTGTTAAAAGTGCAACATTATGTTCATCAAGTATTTTTATGTCACTGTTATCAAGGGAAGTAATTCGCGTGGAGCGACCTGTGCGATACAGTGAGAAAATGAGGGAGGCAATCCTATCACTTAGGACAGAATTGTATCGGTTACTTATAGTTTCATAATATACTTGGAAATAAAAGCGGTAAAGACATAATATACATGTAATATGATTGTAAACTATATAGTGGATGAAGTACAATTACTCCATCTAATGGTAGATTGAAATACTAATACATTTTTAGAACATGAAGGATATGAAGATAAGGATAAGTATTCAATATCAAAGTCCCTAAAATAATACAAAATAGGAGCAGAGCAAACACGGTCTTCAATTCAGTGTATAAATAATGGACTAACAATTACATTTACATGAAAAACGTCAGTCAGCATTTGACTCAACGACAAATTGTATTTGCTGACAAGGTCATTGTATCGACCAAAGAACTTACCAAATGATGACTTTAAACGAGACTGCTGATATTCTTGTTTCATCAACTTGTTTGTCAGTAATATACCTAGATTTATAAATTGTTCATTCGTAGAATCAATGTACCGAATCGAATCGTATCGAATCAACTGAGATATATAAACGCCGCATGCAGGTGATGAAGGTATATTGCTGCATAAGTAAGGGAAGTTAACGATAGAAAAGTTAAAGTCATCACGTTTATCATAGAGCATGGTTGTTAGATTACAATTAACAGCTTTTCAACTAAAATATCTAAGTATGAAACAGATGTGTCAGACTCTTTGGTATTTTTTATCTCAAGCTCACCAGGATATATCGTATCAACATAGAAATGGAAATTACCATTGTTAATTGACAATACGTCGTCGATATATCTAAATGTTGAGTTGAAGGCCACAGCAAGTGTTTTCTTCCTTTCACGCATAAGATTTTGCACAAATTCTGCTTCCTATGAATACAAAAATAATTCTGCTTATAACGGAGCGCAATTGGTACCCATGGGAATTCCAACAAATTGTTGGAATACTTGGTTATCTTGACAACACTTCTATACAAACAAGTGAAAATAAATACTTAGTTATAAACAGAAAACTGATCGCTATGTCAGATTTAAAAGCTCATTAGCTGCTAGGATATCTGACAAGATAATCTGTTTTAGACATACTTGAGAGTAACTAACTTACAACATTTTACCAATGAAAATTGAGAAAACGAACAATAGTAAAGCTCATAAGTCAATTCAAACAATACATATTACGAGCAAAGCAATTACAGACCTCTAAAACATCAGAGGTGTGATATAGGAATGGTCATCCCCTTTAGACCGAACATATTCGCCGTGTGCTCCTTGTCATAATCGAGGAAAAGGGAAAATCCGTCAACAATTCATTTTGTAAAATTGTCTAAACTATATTATTATGAAAAAGTCAGCATTTGACTTGATGATAGATTGTATTTGCTGACAAGGTCTTTATATCTATCATAGACTTTGTGAAATGACAACCTTTGAGGAAATTGTTGATCGATAACTTTTCTCATTTTAAAAATTGTTCATACAGAGAATATACCCTTGTGCTTGAATCAGCTGAGAGACATAACCGCATATGTAGGTGATATTACGATAATAATTTTGCTGCATAAGTAAGGGAAATTGACAGTTGAAGAGTTGAAGCCATCGCGTTCATCGTAAAGCTTTGTTGTTAGGTTACCATAATAGAAATCCTCACGTCCATTGATTTATATCAATTAATGTGAACATTAACTTCCTCTAATTATCTGCAGAGTGACATATTTAACTTCTACTTCGCATGCGTAAAAGTTAATTCTATTATTCATTTTTTTTCTAATAACATGTTCTTGTTCAGCGCAGTGAGAGTTATGCTATATATGTAATGGTGTATCAAATAGATAATAAAAAATATGACAATTAAGTGATAAAGACAAAATAATGACAAAAAAATATGACAATTAAGTGATAAAGAAAAAAAATAGTCCACTGACAGGGGGATTGGGGTGGATGACGACAAACACACACCTACAACAAAGAATACATAATACATTACATAAATATGTAAAATTTGCCAAAAAATATATAAGCCATTTTATAAAAACGTGCTCATGTATGTTCAAATATATATACTAATAAAATATTTCCTTGGCACTTTTGAAAAAAAAATTACGTCTAAAGCAATCAATATATATCACAAGAGATTAGTTTCGTTTAAATGTAACCGTTGATTTCCACAATGCAGATCATCCATTAGTGTCTTGATAGTAAAATTTGGAAAAGCAGTTTTCTACTGAAGGAATTTTCTCTCCAGTGAATGAAAAAAATGCAAAGAATTTCTCAGGAAAAACGAGACAATATCAGTAGTGAGAGGTCCTAAAACATTTGGCATAAATCCCTTTTAAAAAATAATATTCAAGATGTTACCCACGTTCGGCTTGTGTAACAAATTTTGTCAATTACTTTTTTCTGTTTCGTTGAGCAAATCCTTTTTTTTTTTACTATTTAAAGATATAATAATTAAGGAGAAAAAAATATAAAATGTCATAAAAAATGCTGTAATATTAAAAAAAACCTTTTATAAGACAGTTTTACACAATTTATGAGATTATAGCAGCCGACAATAATTTGACTGTACTTTGATTTCATGATTCTGTCATTTACAAACTTTTTAAGGAAAGAAATTCTGACTCTGAATTCATCAAGTTACTTGCAATTCTTTTATTGCTTAACGGAAGAGTTTTAATTACATACTTCTTACTGTCTTTTTTTTTTATTTCCGCATTAATACACAGTGATCATTAAGGGAATGCTTACTCTTTCATGGTGCCTGATCCCACCTGTTTTCAAAGACCTTAGCTGTATCTTTTCAATTATATTGTTTAAGGGACTTTTTAGTATGATATTTATTTTTATTTCTTCTTCTTATATAAATAATATAAAATAAATCATGATGCATAAGAAATTCAGCTGTCATCATATATTATCATTTTATAAGATTACACAATTTCACATCTTCTTTATATTAAAAGGATTTGAGATAGAGAGAGAAAAAATTACCTGAGAGAAAAAAAAATCATTTCTCTCCAAATATATATAGAAGCACTCATTGCTCCAGTTAACAAATGTCATGCATAATTTGGTGTTTTAATGTGGCGTTTTGACAGAAGAGTATTTGTCTCTTTAGTTTTTTGTAATGAAGACCGGTTGAAGCTGGTTTGTAGCTTCTTAATTTAATTAAATCTTGTTAATTAATGTACACGCCAAGGTTGATCCTGTCAGTTAACGCCAACTATCTCGTGTCTTTTACTTTTCTACAGTACAAATGTTAGAATAAGAGCGTTCGAATAACCTGGCACATTTCTAATTGCTTTTTATAATTACTATAGAATTTATAAAGTGCATGGATAATTTGTCAGTAAATTTTTGAATGACAGATAGGAATTACCAGTTCATGTACCCGCAATACAAGCGACCTATTATACAGGGATGTATATCATAATGATTTTAATGGGATTGTTTGATATTTTATTTGTCACAAGGGTAATGCTTTGATTTGAATTTCAGTGAATTAAGTCTACTTGAACGTGTTTTAACTGGTCATAACACGATGATAGGACACATTCGAAAAAATACATCACATTGTAAATTCGATATTAAAGAGAATCGCCTTTGCAATAAAATTAGGTTAAAAAATTTGTCATTTGTCACCAAGATAATTATAATATTTAAAAAACATTCCTGAAAAGTAAACATGTACTGATGACCAAGTAAAAATTAAAATTTAAGAGGATTGAAATGAATTCAACTTTTCCTTTAACAATTGCATGATTTAAATTTATTCAACATGCAACAATACGTATATCCTGCATAAGGTAATATCTCGGCCTTGCTGATTAAATTGATGTTACATGGGTATAAACCAAAAGTTATGAGGTAGTGGTTATTATCATGTTTTCAAGATATTTATTCGTTGCTTGAATTTCTGACTTACCTTCGTTATTCAATTGCAAGATTTCAATTACATATTCTTCCTCTCCTTATTTACGACAAAGGGTCGACAATGAGAGGGTCCTGTCGGTAAGGGATGCTTACTATTTCATGGCACTTGATTCCATCTCTTGCATTTCCTCTGTTTGTCCTACTCTCAGTTTTTATATTTGATTTAGTTGATTAAAACTTGTACAACGTTGATGTTATCACAATTCTGAAGGAATTTGTTGTTGTATGTTTGTGGGTTTATCAGCATTTGTTTTGTGGTTTTGATTTACCAGTATACTCTTTCTACACATATGTTGCATTAAAAGTATTTTATTTTATTACTTTATGAATTGAAAACTTCATAATTTCATTTCTTGTTTAGAATGACATACTTAGATTTATTTTCTTATAATGGATTCTAGAATAAGAAAGTTTACATGTATTTAGATGATTTGGCATTGATCAATTTCGTCAACAAGTGTTCAGGATGTTTTGAAGCCGTTCGGAACAGCGAAGTACATTAATGCATAAATTTCATCAGAAGAATTGGCCAGCTGCAAAGATATCAAATTAATTTTACGTACATGCAATGAAGAAAATTGATGCAAAATTTTAGTGATATACATCCATTTACCATAAGCAGGTTTTGAATTTCTTTTTCTTGTCTGCTAAATGTGAGGATGACGCACAGAAATTAAACAATATAAATACTAAATTGTGAGTAGAGCGAACACATATCTCTGAAAAAAAGGTAGGGAAAGGGTCATTCCCGGTCTTACCCGCTGTCTTTGCATATTTCCTTCATGAAATTTTTCATGCATTTGGTTTAAATTAATATTAAGGTCTTATAATAAAAAATATTTCAAATGTTAATAATTATCCCATCTTTAAAAATAATGTTTGGTTGCCCTCTCCCGAATTGGGGCAAAATTATTCAGTCAGTAGGTAGGTGGAAAAATTGTTTGTTGACAGGTTGAGAGGAATAAAAAAAAGAATATATCGTGAACGTGCAAAATAAAAAAAAAACAAAAAACTGACACCAGCAACTTTTAGTCATTTTCGGTCCGGAGAGGGCAACCAAACAATTTTCTAAGATGCCTTTATCTAATAATTATCTATGTTCATTCAAATTGAGGGATTTGTTAAATATGAAGTAAATTCATTTCTAATGTACCTCAAACTCTCAGTTTTAGTAGTTTACTATCAGTTTAGAAAGACAGAAATAAATTAGAAGAGTCAAATAAATGTTTATGAAGTTATACGTACTACAGTATACTCATGTAAAAATAAAGGAAAATGGTTTTTTTAATGTTTAAATTTATCTATGTTTTGCACATATAAAAACATTTGCTTGCCATTGTTTATTGTTGTTGTTTTTGTATTTTAATTTTTTGTGCGTAAAATTCTACATTTTTCATGCATGGTATGACGAGATACATTCGTGCGAATATTGTCATATAAATCATTTAAAACAAAAACATACTCCATGTTCAGCGCACCATATTTGACATTCATTTATCAGAGTTTTATATCCATCTGCCAGAATGCCTAAATTTAAGACAAAAAGGAAAATTTTATGGAATTCTACTTGTATACCATCAAAACTTTTTGTGACATTAATTAAAATGTTATGTTAATTGAGAACTCGCATCTGCTTTATTAATTCAGGTTTAAATCATACCTATTCAAGAAAGCGGCGCTAATACCGCCCCCTTCATACAAAAGCCTATCAGTGAAAAACAAAAATGTGAGATTTTGAAGTCTCTTTACATAATTAACCTCGCTATAAATCCTAGACCATATCGAGCTTTTACTTCATAACACCAAAAAACCTACTCAGGAGATGCACCTGACAATTCCAGCACTCCTCGTGCTGTGTAGCGTCCTCCTAGCGGCATTTTCACCTCAGGTAAATATGTTCTATTTATTTGTTTTTCTTATTTAAATTATAAAATTATATAATTACTTGTACAGTAGACTTTTATCGGACTAGCATGCAATTTTGGTATGTGATAACCCCTCCCCCCCCGAAAAGTCCAAATGCTTTATGATAAATTTAATCATGTACCAATCCAAATTTACATCCCGATAATGTTAAAAATGAAATCATATTACTTAATATATTTACATGTATATTGAGTCTGATTTCAACTATACCATATAAGCTGAATTTTAATCACGGATTTAATTATGACATTATTAGCAACGGTGTTGAGATCGCTAAAATGAATATTGCAAAAAATAAATTGCGTATTATTTGAAATAGCTTCTTTAGAGAGAACTTTAAAATCGCAAAAATTTAATCCCGCTATAAATGAAATACAATTTTAAAGGACAAATTGCTGAATTTGTGTCGCGCGAAAAAATTCCACCAAAACGGTATTTTGGTACTTCAAACTTTATCCAGAGAACGGTTAATTCTCTGTTTGATTTCAAACCTCAACGGTGTAGAGTGAATGCCTTGAAGACATCGAACACTTATGACTTTACTATTAAAACTACGTCTATCATCTCTGAATAATAATTGAATTTTAAGATAATGAAATATCTATTTTTTATCATTTATTTAGCAGGTGAATGCTGAAAATAATGGAGCCCTCCGAGGTATATATATTGATATTCTATCTATAAACTATTTCAACATCACGGTCCTTTTTCATTAATATTTCTGCATCATTTATATGATACTCCCAATTAGATCAATAAGTGTAGTTGTCTTACGTGTTTTATGTATGATGACAAGTAAGGAATTTGCTTTCAGCACTGAGAAATAAACGTATGGTATCGGGAGGGGGAGTTGCTATTGCGGGGGAAACAGAGCTAAATCCACCCCCACCCCCAGGGGTAACAACAACCAAAGCACCACCAAGACCTGGAAAGAAAGACAAGAAACAGAAAAAAACCAAAAAACCAAAGCAGGACAAGAAGCCTAGAAAAGACAAAAAACAAAAGAAAGACAAGAAACCCAAAAAGGACAAGAAACCCAAAAAGGACAAGAAACCCAAACGGGGCAAACAGGGGAAACGGGGGAGAAAGGACAAAAAAGGAAATAAGGGTGGCAAACCGTGAAGTTGACATTTAATATTCTGAACCATGGTATAGCAGCAAACGTTGAGTGTTTAACAACTGTTTTGATTTATAGTACCTTTTTATGTTTCTGTATTTATTTAATAACATGATTGTTTTCTACCGTAATCAGTACTTGTGGAAAACTGTCTTTCGTTCATAGCTGAGTTTTAGGTTTTAATCCACCATCAATCGAACAGTAATGTAAAATGTAAAATGGTTCATAGATAAAAATTGAAAGATCATTTTTAAGAATTATTATCATTTTATAAAAAAAATCAACTGTTAAAGAATTCAATCAGAGATCAATTGTTAAGACAAATTATGTTTTGTTTTTATAATAACCAAACAATCCTGCTCTAATAACAATGCAACAAAATAAAGATTAAAAAATTGATTGCTTTTGTTTTTCTGTATCTGACTTATCTGAATATGGATCATTTAAAATCAAATAAAAAGTGATTGACAGAAATGAAAATAGAAACTAATGCAAAGTTACTATTATAATAACTTACGAGAAAAAAGTATCTACGATGTAGTCCTAATCTTAGCAATGTTGTTTAATTTTTATTAGGAGTATTTTACCCTATCTTTGGACTTTCAGTAGGGCGTGACTTTCTCGGCGCTACGTAATGGAGAATACTAGTAGATTCTCATTGGTTACGAAATTAATAACATAGGAACTTAAAATTGTTGTTGATAACGATCAGACGACTTATGCCCCATGCATCTCTGTGCCGTGAGAGAACTTTTAATTGGTTATTTACTACACCAGTTGACATTCGGCTGCATTTCTATCATATGTATATTTCAACAGTGAAGGGAAGCTGTGTAAATTTCAGAAGCTAATTAGGTAACGTCGAGAATGCCACGCCTTACTGAAAGTCCAAACTAAGCGTGTAATTCTTCTATTGTAAATGTGTAACGTACCTTTTAAAAATCACTAACTTGGAGACGGCACAACTTGCTGATGGAGGATGCAAATCTAGACCTATATTTGGCACTTAGGTCTACTGAGTAGTGAAGGGTCTTTATTGTGCCAGCGCCTACTTTGACTTATGACACAGGCAATCGCATCATCTCGAGTCTTTCCGTCAGAGGTCGGAAAAACAACCTCGAATGTATTAACATCACCGGATGTTAAAATTTTATACATTTCCTGTTTATTCAAATATAGGATAGACGGAGTTAGAAGTCCCTTCTATGGTATATTTTAGGTAATGTCATTACATTGAATAAAGCTAAACTCCATATTCCACAGATAAAAGGTCTCTATGCATTTATTTCAAAGATCGTGAAAAAGGAGGGTTGTCATGGCGACTACCATATACATTCGAGGTCGTTTTTCCGCTAGTCGGAAAGGCCCGAGAAGTTGCGATTGATGACACAGGTCTTACACTAAAGAATGGCCTCTGCGTTTAACATTGGAATTCGAACCCGTCATGTAAAGATCGAACCCTAATTTCGCGACTCTATCTTTGTCCTAGATAAAATTACAAATAGTTTTAATGTACTTTATTTCTACATGAATGTACCGGTTCTTCAAAAAGGCGCGGTTAAAAAAAATCACGTGCAGGGCGGGACAAATAGCTAGACAGAAGCAGGGGTTGTAGCACGTGGATTGGCGGAATCAAGTGCAAGTAAATATAAGGAATAACTATCAGATTTTTCGATTTCATGACGATGATTAATCGATTGGCTTGCGTGATAATTTAATGCATAAACGCTTTGGCGTTTATGCAAATTATCACGCAAGCCAATCGATTGATCACATCATGAAATCGAAAAATATTAAGACAGTTATTCCTTAAATATAGGATACTCAAATTTGATGGTAATCATGCTTCCGTCATACCTCGTTTTCTTAAAGATGCCCGCGTGGCGCAGTGGTTAGAACGTCTGCTCTAGAGTCGTGAGGTATGGAGTTGATCCTCCTGTCGCGGGTTCGAATCCCACTGTTGACATGGAGACCGGTCCTTCGGATGAGACCGTATAAGTCCCGTGTCGCAGTAGGTGGTGGCACGAAAAAGATCCCTCCCTGCTCAATGTCCCTGAGTGCCGAGTATTAGACAAGATTTGCAGCTCTCCACTTACAAGTGGTGGCGTCTCCATATGAGTGAAAAATTCTCGAGAGGGACGTTAAACAATATACAAACAATCAACCATTCTCTTTAAAAAATTACAATGCAGTGTTTTGCATTTGATAAATATTACCTAAAACGAAATATATGGGGATAAGGAACAGTATTCAGACTCAAAAGTCCATTAAACAATACAAATTTGGAGCCGAACAATCACGGACCTCCAAAACATCAGAAGTGGGATCAGGTACCATGGCGGAGGAAACATTCCCTTTCGACTGCAGAACAGTGATTAAAGCGCTTGCCATGAAATCACTGACTAAGGAGTTGATCCCTTCATCGCGGGTTTCCATTTACAATGTGGGACTAAAAGACTGGCCCCTCAGATAAGCCGGTATAAGCCGAGGCCACGTGTTGCAGTATGTGAATAAATTCTCCAAGGGACTTAAAACAAGTAAACAAACTAAGTTTACCTAATTAACGATTGTAGAACGACCATTATCAAAGACAAAATTTGCTTACAAGGGTGCCAAATCAAATATTTAATATAAGAAGAAACGGACACACATTTCAAGTTTTTATGATGGTTTATTGGCGGCTATGACCATGGCTGCAAGCATTAATGGACACAGTTCCAAGGTGAACTCTTCGAACATATGAACACCCGGCAGTTAAAAAAACGATCATGTTCTTTACTACTTTTTGAATAAATTAAATTGAGAAGTCCATGTGAGGGTTCCTATTTAATTGAATATCTGCTCACTCTAAGGACCAGCAGGTGTGACGAAAGGTGGTATGCTATCTACTTAAAAAAAAAAAAACAAACAAAAACGAAGCCAAAGACATACGGAAATGAAAGAACAAGGTACGGTTTCTATTAGGGATGTAAACGAGTACCCGGTTAACCGGGTACTCGATCGAACGTCTGAGTATCGAATACGAAAATCGGTACTCGGTTACTCGGATGTATATTTTTAAATATTTGTAAGCTTATTTATTAATGCATTAAAACATCTGTTTTAAAACGTAAAATGTTCATTGCACTTGTACATACAGTAATAATTACGGATTCCTAAGCCTCTAAACGACCGTTATCGCGCGTGGCAGTGTTTATACAGTAATTATATAGTGACCAAGCACCTGCTACCTACCTGGCTTTTCTCACCTTCGACTGTCTTCTACCCTTATGTTTAGTTTGCTTTAATTATTTGTTTTCATTTAACATCGTTTAAGGTCCACTATATTTTGATAAATTAAATCTCCAAGAAGCCATAAATTCTCGGGGAAAGAGCCAAACGATATTGCACGTGCGATTGTTGACATGGATGCGTTTGATTACATGCCAATTAATGCAAATGGTTGAAGGCAAATGCTTTAAAAATCTTACGTACATCGTTGCTCCAAACTACAACATACCGTATCGTAATTCTATAAAATCTAGGATCAAATTGAAAAGTGTACGAAGATCGTATATATCCGCTCTGTTTATAGGATAACTTGATCAAGTTTATTCCGTACATGTTGCTCAGACAACTTATCACTTGGACGTCAAACGCACCAAAGAGTTACATTACAATTACGGAACAGAATTCATTTTTTAAACAAAAACACAGTGAACCATTTATGATTTTATTTCTCGTATTTATCTGATAAATAAATTGAACTTTAAAAAATGTTAAATTAAATTTCGTCGGGTACAAAGTGGTCATAATGGTTACAACGCATTTGCAGGTAACCTTCGGTCTTATTTCTACAAGAGTTTACTATGTTTTACAGCTATCAATTAACTTGTTCATATTTATTTAGACTCTTACCGAGTACCCGGGTACTCGATCGGAAAAACGTCCGAGTAACCGAGTATTAAAAATTGACCGATTTGACATCCCTAGTTTCTATACGAACCTTGTCCTGTATTTCTTCTAAAATATGCAAATAATATAAGAAATTAAATTAAAAACCATCCTTTCCGAATTATTGAATTTCCATGCAGTAAAAAAATACAAATCATTTTTCCAATGTGACCTCCCAAATGCTTATTGTGGAGTCATGAACTTGCATTTCCCCATATTTTCATACAAACGTTTTCTGAACGCATTGCATCAGGATGATTGACTGATCGTCTCCTGGAGTAATATTCCTGAGAGTAATATAAACTTATTTCCAGACGATAAAAGCTGTGGATCTTATTAAATCCCGCACGACTTGCCTCAGGCAAAGGCAGTGCATTAATAACCAGCAAAAATCCGGTTCTTTCAGGTTTCATCAGAAATATCCATGTTTTACATTTTTAAGGCCGACCCTTCATGAACTCTCGGTGTTCTACCTTGGAGTACATTATTACAGCTTTGCAATTAATTAATAGCCATTCTCTGTAACCACTTGAACTTCGTTGCCACGCATGGTCACCGATTTTGATGACACTTAACCTATGCTTAGTACTTGACACCAGAAATAAATATCAAACAAAATTTCGTTGCTATGTGTCTCGGTTGCTATGGCAACAACCGGAAATTTTGAAAAATCGAGATTTTCAGTCACTTTAAATCTTGACTTTGGCTTAATAAAATTTAGAAAAAGCAAACAAACCATTCTCACAAAAACATGACACCTTCATGTTACTTATACTGTAAAGAAACTGTTTAGAATATATCTCTAAGTAAATGGTAACCAAGGGTTCATTTTGAATACATTTGAAATGCTGAAATATGCTGAGAAGCACTCCGTATTCACTAATGGTAGGTATTGCTACTTTGGAGTGTTACCATGGAAACAAAGTACCAGTTCTTAAAAGTGAATTATTTTTCGCTGCATTAAGAATTAAATTGCCATTTAATCAAGAAACAAATTAAAGGACTCAGCTTGAATAGTACTTCTCTGTTAGAACTGAAGTTGATATCATATATTGATAAAATTTGATGAATAAAACAACACTGTTGCTATGGTTACTAAGAAGGGAAAATGTTCGATTTTGTGAACTTTATATCAATATTAAACACTGTGTGCCAACTTCTTGCATCCACTTAGAGATTGGATGATAGTCAAAATTAAAAGTCAAGTTACCTGTTAATAATATTAATCATAAAAGTTTTGGGAATCTACATTTAATGGTACGTATCCAAGGAAAGAAAATATTTTTCAGGTTTTTAAGCATATACTTTCTGCTTATTTCCATAGCAACGCTCTATTTAAAGAATCTAAACTGAATTTTTTCAAATGGGAAAACTTGGAGCACACCAACATCTTATAAAATTGATCATTTGTTATGAGGAAATGTTCTTTTTTTAAAAGATAGGATCAGATTTAAACATACAGAGTG